AGCTGTTTTCCTGAGGTGGGATCGCTGCACCCGCCACAGCATGTATTCACCCATTATCTGCAGCTTTCATGGGAATAAGGGAAGTGGAGGATTTATTTAAAGGGAAACAGCCAGAGGGAGAAATTTCCCAGTATTTCCCAGTGTTATTGATATTACAAAGTCAAGCTGATTTTCCCCAGTTTGTTCTGTTTAATAACTTCGTATTCTTTCTCCATCTTAGAGAATGCAAGTGGATTGGTTTGAACCACATTGTGTTTCCAATTGTTTTAATTTACCAGCTCTCATTCGCTGAAGTTGTTACTGTGTGCCTTTTAATGGCACTCATCACCATAGTATCTAGAACACAGTGCTGCAGTAATGAGCCATTGCTGGTATTTCAGAGGTCATGGGCTGGGTTGTTGTGTTTGGGCTTCCAACACTTCAAGGACATTTATTTGCCAAAGCACCTGAGTGTCGCTAGTTCATAAGATGTTCTTCTGCAAAGCCTTTTAATATAAAACCTAGATGTTTAGCTTAACACTACTTGACAAAATCCCTTTAATAATTTTCTGAAAGGTAAGACTTGCTCTAACATTGGGCGATGTGTTTGGGAAGAGTGCCAAAAACACCTGCAACCTTGACTTGTAAGATGTTGGCATACCAGGGATGGATGGCGGGCGAGCTGTGAAGGGACGGATCCTTGTTGTGGTAGCGCAGTCCCAGACCCTTCCCTGCCATCTACCCTGAAGCATGTGCACCAAGCAAAATGCCTTTGCATGCCATGCTCTGGCACCCGTGCCAGAGGTTGGCTACCCCTGCTCTAAAGACTTACAGGTTCAGTATTTTATTCTGTGTAGTTATAATGCAAAAATGCAACAAAACCCCCTCAACCCCTCCCCCCCCAAAACCAAACAAAAAATCAAAACAACAAAAAACCAAAAGAAAACACCAAACCAGAAAACTGAAACTTGTCTTTCTATACTATACAGACTATTAACCAAAAATGTTACACTATATACTGGGCACATGAAAGAGCGATAAAATTATTATTTCTTTTAGTGAACTGTATCACTCTTTGAGCAGATTAATATAGAAAACACACTGACCTTTATGGATTCATAGCAAAGATTAATTTATCTCACTGTCCTAAGCCAGAAATATTTGTCTTGAGAAAGGTTCTTCATTTTTCTGAGGCTGTTTTTAGAACTAATCATGGGAGTAGTGCACAAAGGATTTATACCAATGCGCATATGAAATTAACTGAAAAAACTATTACTACCCATTCATAAGATAGTAGGTAAGCAGGGATGCCAACACCTTTCAGCATGAGGAATAAAACTGTGGGCTCCAATAACATGAAAGCTAACTGAGAAAAGCGATGGTATGCCACTTTTAACTGCCTGTTCCCAAGGTATCAATGTTTGTTCCCCAAACACATTAGATCTCAAACCACAAAGCTGGGTGGCACCACTATTGAACACACTGTAAAAAGCACATAAGAAATGAAAGAGATCTACCATGTAGGGCCCAGTCCTGAAGAGAACATGTGCAAGTGCAGGAGGGTAGCCACACACAGTGGAAGATCAGTTCAAATCAAGATCACATCAATAGTGCTTAAGAGTTTCTTGAAGACAAGACAGTGACCCTTTATAGGAAACTGGTTGGTGAATCTCAAATCAGCTCACACTGGCTAGGCTTAGATGCAAAAGGGGGGCTTGAACTGAGCACTGCAATGTCTGTCTTTTAGACACCTCCTAGAATAATCTGCTGCCTGTTTGTCATAGGTACTGCAGGGTGTTCCTTGGCTTAGAGTTCAGATCTCATTGTCAGCAACCATCAAAATGTGGTACAAAGTGTCATCATGGCAGGGAGTAACACTTCCCTGAAGTCACTGGGTTTCACAGATCACACACCCTTTGAATAATCACAGGGCATAAACAGTGCAATTTATCACAAATCAGGGCTGTGATTTTGAGCACACCTTCAATATTTGCCAACATTTTTATTCAAGCTTCTTTGTCTGAGACAGCCATTTACAAGACTGAAATAACATGAGATCTGGTCTCCTTGTGACATGCCAGCATCAGTCTTCAACCAATGAAAAACAAAATGTGAATAAATATAAATATTAGCTCCCCACTCTGTAGTCCACATACCTATTAGAGACTACAATGCAGGGTGGTCCCACAGGAAGGAATGGAACAAAACATGGCCAACTCACTGCTCCCTGACCCAACTCTGCAGCAGACACTTCAATAGAGAAAAAAAAAAGCTGAGGACAAACTGCAGGGAATGAAGGTTTGGGGAAAAATCCACCTTAGCTATTGCTGATTATTATCAGAAATTTAAGTTACAATCTCAGAAGGACCTTCCAAACAAAAAGAAAATAGATGTTGCTATGTACCACCATAAAGCTGTTCTCTTGGTTTACTTCAGAGGCTGCATTGACTGTCCTTTTATGTCCCTCTTGTGGTGGTGGAGCAGTAGTGCAGTATCTGCTTTAGAATGAGTTTACTTCAAAAACAACAAAAAATATACTGCTTCACTGCTATTGGGTTGTTTTTAAGTTACTCGCTCAAAGGTCCTTTGATATTGGATTTTTTTGACATAGAAACATAATTTTTTTAGTTACAAATACTCCTGGTTCTTCCATTTCAGCCAGGCTGCATGACAAATTTCAAAAGATGCTCCCTGGAAAGGGTGGTATTTATTTTAGACAAAATAATAAAGTAATAATGAAAGAGAAAGAGCTACTGAAACACAGAAACAAGAAAAAGGACAGACAAGAGAAAAGACAAACTGGTTAAATATTCATAACTAAGTGGATGTCATATAGATCTGTAATTCTGTAACTGATTACAAGATTCTACAGTTTATTGTACAGATTTCATAGGTACCATAGGTGCAGCTTGTGTGTACATATACTTATGCATAAAGAGAGTTTATAAAGAAAGATGAGGGATAACTTGTAACATCATAACAGACCCTAGCTGGAAAACCACCCACATGCAAAAAAAATAACAAAAAATCAGTGTAGGCCCGGGGGTGGAGAATAAGTAGAATCAAAGAAGTATGGGGGAAGGGGGGGGGGAGGGGGAGAGAGAGAGAG